ATAATTATTAAAAATATTATATTTTTTTATTTTTCTCTTTTCTTTATATATATATATATATATATATATATATAATCAAACAACTAATATGGATTTTCAACAACTATATTTTAAATTTTAATATAGTTAAACATAAGTTTTCAACAAAAATATAGAATATTACCGATTAATATTTTCTTACTATAATGATATATTTTGTACTAAAAATATGTGATATATACAACTTTTATGACTAATCATTTTTTTATTACATACAGTCATATTAATATTAGCTTAGTTTCATTTCTTTTATCTTGTTTTTTATATAATTTTGTTTATCTATCTAACTAATTATATACAAGAAATGTGTGATTGTTGCAGGCTAAGAATCCTTAACACCAAATACAACACATGATATTTGTTTTTTGATAGACCAAGTGTTGTGTTGCTGTGCCCTTTGTTTGGAAGACAACCTTAGATCTTTTATAAAAATTGAAACAGGATTCCAACCATTGTATTTAAGACGAAAAAAATTGTTGTATGTGAAATTAATCATATTTTTTGATACATTTAAAGTAAATATAGTTGTACAAGAAATTATTATCTACAACTATTTTTTCATACTTTGTAATGTATTTTATGCAAACAAAAAAAAAGGAAAAAAATATAAAAAAATATTTATGAATGAAATTAACTTTAGATTGTATTTCTTGTCATTAATATTATACTTTTTCTTTTAGTAGAGTGGTATTTTATATTTACATTTACATTGGACGTTCAATTTGAATTAAACAATATTACAATATAAATTTGATAAAATAAAACACAATTAAATAAAATTAAACTATATTCTAAGTCTTTAACAAATTAATGAAAAAAAATTCATTTATTATGTCTCAATGTTAGACAACAATTTGTGCCACTTCTGTTCAAATTTTAATTAACTCCAATGATCAAATTAAATAAGAAAAATTAGTACTTATAGATTCACACAAGTACGACACATTTCTATCCCAAATACGTGAATTAAGAATTTAATTAAATAATAAAATTTTAATTCTAATAAGTTATAAACTTTCTTAATCATCACTATTAGTAAAGGAGTTTACAACTCTTTTCTAATAACTTTATTAAATAAAGGAGGGCTGCAAAATAATGTATAAAATTAAAACAAAGCATAAATTGATCGTTTAATTGAACAAAATTTTAACATGAATATAATTATACAAAACTTAAATAATTTCAATAAAATATTAAAAATATAATTTCCACCTCAATGTTGCATTAATCAAAGCAAAATCTTAGACAAGTGAAGCTCTAAGTCTCTCTTTTATCGAATACATCTTCATGTATCTTATCTACTCTTACAAATGGCGATCAGTCCAAACACAAACACATAAGTATAGGGAGTGAAAATGCATCTCATCCACACAACATATAAGAAGTTTAAGAATAACACACATACACACAACATAACTAAATTCTCAATTATGCATTAAATTCTCAAGTACATCTAAGACAATGAATTTCTTATTATCATACTATCAATGCTTTCATTCATCAATCAACAACTAGCAAATTAAATACTTTGTTCAATCAAAGTTATAATTATAAGGACTCATGCATATGCATGCTCCTAACTCTACATGTATATAGTATCAATCTCATCATCATCATTAAAATGGAATAGCCTATGAGCCACGGAACAGGACCATCCATCTATAGTGTAGGGACCACCCATCTATAGTGATTCCTCCCGAATCACCTTCAATTAGAAGATGTCAATCAGGGTCCTATCGAAGTGTTACAGCCGACCATGGTTGTCTCTGATTCCTGTTAGAGGTTCCCCACCATGGTTATCACACCTACATAGATTCATTATTTCACAAATAAAGTATGAACATGGACTCAACATTTACATCACAACAACACAATATGCAACAACTCATCTCCTCATGTACCAATCTACAACACTGAACTTGTCCACCATATCTCATCATATACTCATATTAATACATCTCATCATACATTTCTATAATTTCTCATTTAACATCTTCACACAACATAACATTATATATTAATAATATTACTCATATTATTCACTCATCACATATTATAGCATTATGACATCATTCATCAATGCTCAAACATTATACACTTCATTCTTGAGTTGAAAATCCACATTTCATTTCACATATAGGCATAAGGTCTCAAGATTAAACACTTAAAGAATAAAACAACTCATCATTACAACTCGCAAACTATCTCTTATTATCTTAAGTTTCTACTTATGATGTTGTGTTGTATAAACGTGTTATCTAGAGATGTGCCTATGCTATTAAGTTGGTCTTAATTTTCTTATAAAGTTAAGATAATTATCTATAACATCTATGTTAACCTCAACAATTGATTTTACCATCTACTATTTTTAAAAATTACAAAATCATAGTATTTTAGCGTTATTCTGACAGTTTGACATTTGTTCACTAATTAATTTGATTATAACTTGCAATATAGACCTTGGTTTTGGGTGATTTTAACGCGCTTGGAATGCTAACATCTAAGGCTGTGACTATTATGACTACCATGAAACCTAATACGATCATTGAAGGGTCCTTACAAGGCCTATAAGTTTTAAACATAACTTTTTGCACACAGAATGTGAGACTTATCTTGTGACTCATATAACTCAATTGTTTCTTAATATTTTATGTGCGTAATTCTTGAGTCTAAATTGTATCCCTAAATGTCTACTTTTCAACCAAACAAACAGAACCTTATTAGGTTAATCGCATAAAGAGCAATCATCTATATACCGAGATGTGTTCATACCAAAATTTTCAAAATTAAATAAAGCATACCAAATCTCTAAATCATACATCCAATAAACTCAAAACCCAAAATCTCTTATTCCTAACCCTCAAACATTGCAATTCATCATCAAATTAATTCAATCATAATTCATGCATAAAATTACAAGGACAATACAATAATTCAACTTCAAAGCATGCACATAATAATCCATAGAAATCAATTCAATAACCTAAAGGGCTTAGGAATCACCTCTCTACCGTTACCCCTCATGTATGCCTATGGATATGATAATCTCACTCCCCTACCTAGAGTGATGACTTCATAGTTCAACGTGCTTCTCATATTTCTGCTCGCTATTTTGCACCTTCCTCAATGGTCTTCTTTAGGCTCCCCTCTACAAATGCTCTAGGTTTTCCTCTACGAGTGCTCTCAATTTTGTAAAAATGCATAATAAACCTAATATCTTCTATTTTACTTGTTTTTAATTAATCTCTAGATTAAGTCAAGAATTTGGGTCAATACTCTCTAATTTACCATTTCTATTGTTTAATTTATTAATAAAATATTTTGATAACTTAATTAATATCAAATATTTATTTATTTTAAAAATAAACATGATGTTACAACAAGAGCTTGAATTTCTTTAAATATCATATTAAATGTAAGATTTAAGTCATTGCAACAAAGTTGCTAAAAGTCATCGTGATGAGAGACAAACCAAAAAATATTAAAATCAATGAAGATGCCGCTTATTTAAGAGCAATAATTAGAACGAAAAAAAACTTTTATTTTGATTTAGTTGGTAATCAAAAAGATTTTAGGTTTAAGAGTATATTTACACTAAGAGAATGGTGGAAATTAAATCATATTGCACTCCATATGCATTTATTAAAAAATAATTACTTTTAGTTAATTACTAAAGTGCGAAAATTGCAAGTGTACGCATATTGTTAAGTAATAAAAAAACAGCAAACTCATAAAGACTATGTGTTTGACAACGTAATTATTGCTAATTGAATGCAATTAAACAAGATAATTATAATTAAAATTTAGAATTGAGTTTTGGAAATTTAATGGTTAAAATTTGAAGTAGAAAAAGAACAAGAAGTAATAAAAGATATTAAAATTCAATTTATGAAAACTTGTAGGATTGGATTACATGCTATAACAGCAAACAATTTAATTCAATTAACTTCGTAATCTTATGAGTTCTTATCAAAGGCGAATACACTTATTTATATAGGGTAATTCATTTATTTGAAGAATTTCAAATCCCTTGAGATGAAATGCTTTGTTTGAATGAGAAATTTATATAGGATAATTCATTTATTTGAAGAATTTCAAATTCCTTGAGGTGAAATGCTTTGTTTGGAAGAAGAATTTACAAAGAATTTGAAATCCAAGTATTTGTGAAATTCCTTAAAATAGTATAATTTCAAATTCTCCCAAAAGTGGGAGAATTTGAAATTCCTCATATTTGTTTTTCTTATTTCACCTATATATTTTATCTTATCTCTTCATTCTTTTAATTATTAGATATTCAAAAATATTTTTAAAATTATTAAATATTATCTTATATTAATTTAAAATTTTTAAATATTTAAAAATGGATTAATATTTATTTTTATAAAATTTAATTTAAAAATTTTAACATATAAATATATTTTTAAAATCAATTTTACTATGATGGAATCAAATTATCATATTCAACCTAATAATTTAAAATTTAAGAAATTTGAATTGACCCATCCAAACAAAATATTTTAAGAATGATAGAAATTGAAATCAAAGTAATTCAAATACTAAAAATTTAAAATTCCTTGAATTTGTAAAATTCTTCATCCAAACACATTATTAAGTTACATTTTGTTTTATCTCTAGATATGAAAAATGTATCTAATTATATTGACTCCTGGCTCTTGTGGTGCCTAGACCATTTAAATTCTATATTAATTTGTTTTACCCTCCTAAAATTAGTTCTACTATTGTGAATTAAAACATTAGTTCATTTCTATGCTTCCAAAATTACAGGTTTTCTTCTCAATATGTCCCTAAACTCCTACAATGTAGTTAATGTTACTCAATTCATTCAATACAAATTAACAAATCAGTACAAAGAAATCAAATATATATAGACAAGAATAACACAGTGATAACAAAAATTAATTCATCCAAAAATCATAATAGTGTGTTTGGATGAGGAATTTTACAAATTCAAGGAATTTTAAATTCTTGGTATTTGAATTACTTTGATTTCAATTTCTATCATTTTTAAAATATTTTATTTGGATGAGTCAATTCAAATTTCTTAAATTTTAAATTGTTAGGTTGCATATGATAATTTTATTCCATCATAGTAAAATTGATTTTAAAAATATATTTATATGTTGAGATTTTGAAATTAAATTTTATAAAAATAAATATTAATCCATTTTTAAATATTTAATAATTTTAAAAATTAATATTAGATAATTTTTAATAATTTTAACAATTAATATTAGATAATGTTTAACAATTTTAAAAATATTTTGAATATCTAATAATTAAAAAAAATGAAGAGATAAGATAAAATATATAGGTAAAATAAGAAAAACAAATATGAGGAATTTCAAATTCTCCCATTTTTGGGAGAATTTGAAATTCTACTATTTTAAGGAATTTCACAAATGCTTGAATTTCAAATTCTTTGTAAATTCCTCATCCAAACAAAGCATTTCACCTCAAAGAATTTAAAATTCTTCAAATAAATGAATTACTCTATATAAATTTCTTATCCAAATGCCAATCCCAGAAATAAGAAGGATTACTCATAAAGACATTGAAACCAAAAAGAAATTATTAGAAAAATGAGATCACAGATTGGAATTCAAGAAAGGAGAGCGTTAATCACTAATTTCGTTCCTAGGTTTGTCATCACCAAAAAGAATTTTGATCCCCTTTCCCTTATGTTTAGAATAGTATTTTAAATAATGAGCTAAAAAGAGTTTGAACTCAAATAACTATTAAATTGCAAGTAAATTAAAAATTGTTTGTTTGTCCAAGTTCATGACTATGAGATTGAGTTCAAGACCGTGAGCATCAATGGTTGAACACAGATGATCGATGTAGTCTTTTTGAGTTCACAATTGTGTGATTGAGTTCACAGCTGTGGTCTTCTCTACTTTAACACGGATGATGGAGCCTTTCTAAATTCATGGTCGAGAGTTGAGTTCACAACACTATGAACCTTTGAAGTTTCCAACTCTTTCTTTTGTTCCATCCACCAATCTCTAAAGCTTTTGACTTCACACTTGGTGGTTTTTAATGCTTTCTATATCTATACAAGATTTTAAAATTCTTTTTTTTTTTTTTTTGTTTCTCTTTCTCAAAATATTTTCTTTTTTTAAGTCAAAAATAGCAGAAAAAATTAGAGAGATTATTTTTTGAGTGCTTTTAGAATTAAAATACCAAATCTTAAAGCAAAAGATGCCAAAAAAAAAACTAAGAAATTCACATGGGAACAAAAATTGAAAGTATATTAAGATTAAGATCTATATGTTAAAAATTAATATGCAATTAATCTCAAGTAAAATGTTATGCACAGATTATATGAAATGCAACACATCAATTAAATAAAATATTAACAAACTTTAAATATTTGTTTAACCCTTTTATTTTAAAGTATAAAATGAAAATAAGCACTTGTATTATTTATTTTAAAATTAAGCAAATGTATATAAAAAAAATTATGATTTAATTAAAATAAAATACTTCAGAAAAATTAATTTTAGACTTGTACAAAGATAATTTTGAAACCAAAGATTTGATAAGTCTAACTCTTAATAGTTTTAATGATAAAAAGAGACGTTAAAAATGCATGGTATAATTGATCTCTTTATGAAAAGGTGATAAAATCAAGTGTTTTAATTAAAGCATCTAATATACGTTTTTTTAACACAAGTCATCCGATACGTTTTTTATAAGATCGTCACATTATTAGAGTAAGGTCCAAAACAACCATAAAAGCTTTTAAGTTTCTCCTTCATCAAACCCCTTTTCTTGTATATGATTTAATCATGCAAGTGCAATCAACCCAAACATGCACAACAACAATAAACAAGGAGTAACAATACATCTCATCCATGTATAGCACATACAAGGCATAGGATAGCACTAATAAAAAATACAATAACTTAGATTAATATTCATATTCAACATCTCAAAGGTGTATTCATTCCCTACCATAACACCTCCAAGGTCTAGGTAAATAACCTTTGAGACCCTCCTACATACACTTACACTACCTTTCAAACAAAACATACATGCATGGACTTTACATCCAATAACATCGCAACACAACTTATGCAAAGACAATTAGGATACTTGCTAGAATGAAACCCTAAACTTGTTCATAATACATCAAGCCCTGGTTAGGCTTAAGCCCTCACAATTTTATTTTTGGTTATCAACCAAAAGACTTCTCAATCATTAGAGTATAATTTCTTCTTTTATTTTATCGATGTGAGATATTGTTTGTATTCCAACAAGCATGTTCATGTTACTCTTCATGTTCTTTGACAACCTCCTCTTGGTTCTTCTCTTTGTTGTTACTCATCATTATATCGTCTCCGCTAGTGTTTTCCCAAATGTTAGCACAACCTCTTGAATTGTGACAACTTGTGTTGGAGTTATTTTTTGACGACTTGTTTGAGGGGATGTTTATATCAACAGAAGAGTTATAACTTGTTATTTTTATAAGGTTATTTCACAACAATCCTCCCCTTGTATATCACATTATCACCTATCACTTTATAAGGGTTATAACTTATTGGTTGTCACTGAATCCAACATGTGACTCTAATACCACTATTGGGATTATTTTATGGTATTTGTTTAAAGAGATATTTTATATCAAGAGGAGGGTTATAACTTTGTTATATTTATAAATTTATTTCACACACAATTTCATAATAATAAGATATTGTCTGCTTTGGATCTGAGCCCTCACAATTTTATTTTTGGTTATCACCCAAAAGACCTCTCAATCATTGGAGTATATATGTATTTTATAAACTGTTATTTCTTCTTTTATTTTATCGATGTGAAACCTTATTTGTATCACAACTATACTTTCTAATTAGTTCCTCAAATGATGAATCTCAATGTAACAAACACGATCTTTGTTATTATGAGGCTACTCCATGTGCTTATCGAAGTTCTCTTGTAAATTTTTCCTGTGCATACACTCTTAAAGTTTTAAAAACTGACACATATATGTGACTTAACTCTCTTTTTCTTAGTATTAATAAATCCCTTGAGTTGATCTCAAAAGTCCAACCCAAGACTCATCTTTAACCAACTACCTATTTTGTTTTTCAAAAATATTTTAATATAAAATTGACCTAATTAATTAAATTAGTTAAGTCTAGAATATAATTATTTTTATTAAAACACTTATTTTATTTAATTAATAAAATATTATTTATATGATAAACTTAATTAATTAATTAAGTTCATAATATTTTTTATTAATAATAATTTATTGTATTTTAAAATTTTGGTATATTACGTCATAGAAACCACTATTTTTTTCACACTATTAATATAGTTTCTTTCTATATTAGTTATATTTCTTTTTTTTTCGATATTTATTTATATTTTACTTTTATATAAATAAAATATATAGAAATAAATCGGCCCGATTAATATTTATAATATAAAACATACGTTCAAGTCGAATCATTTCAAATAAACCTTACTCGATCCTTGCTCGATATTTATAATATAAAACATACCCTTCAAGTAAAATCATTTGGAATAAACCTTGCTCAATACCAATGAGGTATATACCAGCTCAATCACCTGAACTACCCTTGGTATATTATATTATTATCACTTTTTTCCATTACATACTAAATTATCACTTTAATTACTTCAATATGAATTTTGAAAATATAAAATTTGCGAAAAAGGTGGATATCGTAGTACATCCTCTCCATATTTAAGTTAAAATAAGGTTCAAACAAACAAATTAGAGTGTGTTGAAAAATCAGTTAAATTCAACTAATTAACTACACTATTTTTTTTTTTTTTTTTTTTTTATATTAAAACACATTTTTCTATTCAACATAGTTTTGATCTGGTATCTAATACACTTAGTCATTGAGGAGAGTAGCATCACACAATTTAAAGGAGTTGGCAAAGCCATTCATGTTATTAACAGAACCTCATACAGTCACATTAAGAGATCAACCACTACACTCCATGCACCATCATTACCATTACCTTCAAAGTTTAATTCCCTAAGTACAAGTATTATTTTTGGTTGCAACCATTGCTACAATCAACTAATGCAACATTAATTAAGCCTCAGCAATTTCAGCAGATTGATCAGCAGCAGCTAGGATAAGCTCAGGATGAACATTTCCTGCATAATCCAAAGAATTGGGAAGTCCCAATGCTCTCAAAGCCAGATGAGCTGCTTTCTGCCCTGATATCATCATTGCTCCAAATGTTGGACCCTACATTCACAGTTTAACATGCTTCATTTTATTTTAAGGACCCTTTCATTGAGCAATTCAAAACATGAGGCAACAAATACGAAAACTAGAACATTATTTCACTACAATGAGCATTACCACATCATATAAATCACCCAACAAAATAGAGCATTATAAAAAAAAGCATACCATTTATGAAAAAAAACAGATTAAAAATAAGATAATAATTTTATAATTAAAAATAAAATAAAATAAATATTTTCTCACTTAAGCAGCCAAAGGAAAAGTTGCAGACACGACAGAAAGCTGTCATGAAAAAAACTAAATGTTAGCAGGACTGGGACCATGACCCTTCTTACAATGAGAGTTGTCTCATTATACATCATTAAAAATCCTTTTCAGTCCTTTCATATGAAATATAAAATATCATATAGTTATAATTAAAAGAAAAACTATATACCATGAACATGACATGTTTTGACATATTTTTGAGAATTTTTCTATTAAAAATAAAAATTATTTTTCAATAAAGACACTGTCAAAAGCGTTTCAAAGTTTGTATGTATCCAAATAAAGAAGTTGTCAAAAATATTCTAAAGAAGTATTGATATGATATATATGATATATATGATAAGACCCATCATATAAAATATCTGTATAACACTGCCAAACAAAACAACCTAAAATTAGAAAAGTGATTGATGCAAATGAAGATGCAAAAATTTACCATTCTAGGAGCACCATCAATCTCAGCAACCTCCATGCCAGTAACAATCATGCCAGGCACAACCTCTCTAGTGAGTCTCACAATAGCATCCTCTGCCTTGTTCATGTCAAGGGCCTTCATTCCGGGGACAGTGTCAATGAGCCCAATGCTCTTGAGCCTCTTCACCCCAGTGGCCCCAAAGGGCCCATCATGGCCACAAGAGCTCACAACCACTTTGGCCTCCATCACGTTGGGGTCCATGCATGATTGGGTGTCATGGTTCATGGAAACCAAGGCCCAATTCGTCACAACCCCACCAACTCTTCCATTCTTCACAATCAAATCCTCAGCTGCCACTGCATTGAAAAGCTTCACGTTTGGCCTCGCCAAGAGCTTGCTCATGATGGTGGAAGTGAACAATGCAGCATGCTTCATCACTACATAGTTGTCTTGTTCGTCATACTCAAGACCCAGCTCATCAAGGAAAAGATTTGCAGGCTTACGCACTACCTGGAATCCACATATTCCTAATAACATCAAATTAATTGTTCCTATGTATATATAAATCTTCTTCAATTTTTCATATGTGTATTGAAGGTCTTTGTTAATTAAACACTTGTTAATCACCACTGAGCCCTCTCAGAATCAATTTTATCAATCTTTAAAACAAAGTAGCACATAATAATTAGATGAACTATAATGTACTTTTAGTATTTTTTTTCTTCAAAAACATCTTGTTATCCGGTATTTTTTATTATGTTTGTTAAGAAATCAATAACAAAAAAACTATTACATGTTGAAACCTTTTTTAATTTCTAAAACTATTGAATTTAAAGTGTTATTAATAATTTTCTACGTACACTAATATTTAATAATTATTGTAACAATAATTTTTATTATATATGACATATCAAATAAAAGTATTTAATGTAATTAGATCAATTAATATTTTATGAGTTGAACAGATCAAATATAGGGTGGATACTGGACACTCTTATTTTTCTAATAAATAAATAACTCTATCAGTTTTGTTCTTTATTTCATTCTCCTTCCAAATCCAGATCCGGATTTTATTTTCCATCTATTTCCATTAAAAAATAAAATTAATAGATAGGCAAAGACCAAGTATTGTATTCATATTAACTAAATTTAATCTTAAATAATTAAATTTTATTCAGAAATATTAAATATAACACTCTTT